GTTTTCCTTCTTCAATAATACCACGAGCACTTTTGGATGATTATTACATTGATTTCAAAAGTAATTGTCAAATATTGAACATCGACGACTACAAGCAAAGGCCCATAAAACGAGTAGAGCGCAAGAGAGAAGACAAACATTTACGAGAAGCACGTTTTATGGACCTTCCTGTTGGTAAAGGACGTTCATTTGGTGGTGAATACGGTTGGGTATCTCCATTTGTAATTGAAGTCAGAAGAGACTTGAAACTTGAACCAAATGATTTACCTTCCAAAAAGCCAAACATGATTCCAATGCTTGTCGAAAAAGCTGCTCGTGGTATTATTGAAGAAGGAAAACATATTGGAAAAGAACGAGAAGCCGAACGATTGGCTAAAATGCTCGGAGAAAAGAAGAACGCAGGAATGGAGGAAGTATGGAAGTGTTGTGCTTATCTTTACACATTGGAAAGTTTCCTGTACAAAGCATTGAATGCAGCGATGAGATTAGTAGGAGAGAAAGATCATGAACAAGTCTGGCGAAGTAAAGTTCGGACATTGGGTCCATTTTGTTTATTACTTTGGGATGATCCATTTAATACACAACTGACAACCAAAAAGACACTTTACCGAGGAGCCACTCTGACGAAAGAACAGATCAGTGCTTATGAAGAGATGGGCAAAGACGACAAGGCATTTGGGTCATTTCAAGCGTATACAGCGTGTAGTCGAAATCGCGAAAAAGCGGAAGAATTTGGAAATACTTTATTTATTATGGAAGTATTAATTGCTTTTATTGCCGATCTTAGTCCATTGTCTGAATATTCTAATGAAGAAGAAGAACTTGTTACACCAGGTGTTTGTTTCCGTGTTAAAAACGTTGAATTTGATCGTGAGAAGGGCAAACATTTGATCCATTTGCGATTAAGACAACGATTTTCGCGTAAGTGAGAAAAATCTTTTATAATAATCTTTATAATATGAAAATATTTTTCTATACATTTCATTCTCATTTTATATGGCGCATTAAGATTACACTAATTGACAACATTACCATTTCTTCATATAAATATGCTGAAGTTCAATATAATATCATAAATAATAAAAATTACATTAATTGACTATTTGTCTGTAAGAATATACACTATGATCTATAAGTATCTGGACAAGTATCAAATTCTATTACGTTCGAATAGAAAATGCTAAAAATCTAATCTATTTACTTATAGATAGAGTGAAGTATATCTTATGAAATGCATATTTAGAAAAAAATTTAGGATTTAGTCTTAATGATTTCCAAAATATTAAAAATGATTTGTTACCAAAGTAAATACTTTGAACACATTTATTTTAAATTTTAATATGTTAACTAAAAGTTACGATAGAGAATTTAAACTTGAGAAAAAAGACTATAAAGTTCAGATTTTCTGGCAATCGATGCGTTTTATTTCTATGTATCGAGGTTGAGGGTAATCGACAATTAGCATTAAAAGGTAGATCAGGAGATTCTAAAATATATTTATTTATAAATTTTTGGAGGCATATTCGGATTCAGTTTAAATTTGAGCTCGTCAGGAAATCTGAATTCTGCAATGAATAGCTAAGAAATTATAAACACTTATGAACGCACTACAAGTGAACGCTTAAAAATTCTGAAACCATACAAATTGATGAAACTCCGAGGATCCCAGAAAACTCGAGCATTGAATGAATTCCGGTAATTGAAGACATTGAATGAAGTTTCATATTTGAAAAATTTTACAAAACAGGTTCAAGTGAAATACATAAAGGAGCCCGTAGAATTTGTTGAGATTTATTGAATTCATTAACTGTTTCATTTTCGAAGTAGGCATAACCAAGCATTCTCGTAATCGTGACAAATAGTTCATCTTTCGTTGAAGCGAACGACAATAAATTCATGATTCCGATCATGGCAGAAGTAGGATAAAATATACGCTCAAATGCTTTGATCATTATCAGAATTTTTCCCATAAATAAGTTTTGCAATCGGATGATTTATTTCCTACTAGTCTCGTATCTTTTCTCTCGATGTGTAGAGTTATCAACTATGTTTCGAACTTCCTCTCCAATAGCATATAAACAACATGATCTGAGTTTCTAGCCAACAAGTGATTCCCAAATTACCGCTATGAACCAGAGCTCTCAATCTCAATAGAGTGCAGAGGTAAACGACACCACAAAATTCAAGTTTGATTTGTTCTCAGCCCAAACACATTTATAAATAGTACCAACCTCCACGCCGTCCATATGAATACTCGCTGTTGTACGCATATCGACAAGAGGCCAAAACCGAATTGAGTGATCGAATGATTTGATTCACCTGCGTCGAATCGATTGGAGATTTTCAGAAAACAATTCTAACCCGTTCGAATAGAGGGCTGGTCAAATCAAATCCGAATCATAATTTCTTCAATCGTTTCAGTCTTTGATACCGACTCGCAAGGTCGTTAGTCTCGTATTAGTTTAAAAGTTCAGAGTTCCTCAAGAATTCGGAATTCACAAAATTCGACCATTGCTACTACTATTTTATTCGATATCTTAACTAAACATGTTTCAATACGCTTTAAATTTATATCAATACTAAAGCATTAAGGATTGATTAAGATTCGAGAATTTGAAGATAATTCAACGTTTGTTTTTATCGAAGATATGAATTTATGTCATATATGTTGATGGGTTTTTAAAACATAAGATTTTCTTTTCCTCAAAAAATGCAATTATTGAGTCATATCGTATTTGTAACAAATTCATTTCATAAAATGGAATTCATGTTAAAATATCATTTCCTTTTTAGTACTCTCATTAATAAGAATTAGAAGAACGAATTCGTCTAGTTTTNGTGTTCGATATATTTTCCAGTTGACATACAAACAAAACTAAATATAGGAGAAAATTAGAGGATCTATATGATCTTTTATAATATTTTTTGTATTTTTTTTTCTATCAAGTGTTGAGCTTATTGTCCATATTTTCTATAATATGAGATTCTAATGAACAGATTGTATAAGATGCTTTTTAATTTCGTGCTGAAGTTTATTGTTTTTAGTTTAAATTATATTTGAATATAAAAACGAGCTCATTTTTAACGCTATAGTTTTATAGATTTCAATAGATTTTGTTGTGATATGTCATGATTACATTTTTCATTTAAAAAAATATTTAGAATATGTGTTTACCTAACTTCGATTTGATGAAATAATTTTATGCAATGGTCTTTATATTAAAATCCTTCTAAAGAGAATTCTACATCTGTGTGTAAAGGCATATAAAAAAATTTAACAAATTACTTTTATTGATTTTAGTCTTATATTTCATTCATATGGATCCATTAGCTGTAATAAAGATTTTTGTCCCGACAACAGTTGAAAAGGGATTAGTCAAGATTGTGAGTGTCTTAATTATATAAGCTTAAACAATGCGTATATTGACGAAATATGTTTGAAATTCTCATATTTCACGTGCGAATTTGTAAATTGCATATAAAAAATACAATTTTCAAGTTTCTAAGTAAAACATAGGAGATAATGCCAGACTTTTATTCTTGAAGCCATTCGGTAAGCTAAAAATAATTTTACATATCTATGAAAGACATATTATTCGCATGTAAATGATGAAGTTTTAGCTGTATGCACTCGCATGATAACTAATGCTCTTCTAATTCTGTGTGCAAATACAAAAAAATGCTGTATTTACAAGAATTAGAACGTAAGCGATTTTGCACTGATAAGCAAAATTTGACTCTTTTGTAACTCACATGCTGATTCATACAAGAATTCAGTTTACTCTTCAATGTATGTCATTGCTTCTTAGCACAAATGGATTTTCTACTTAGCATAATTAATTGTTCTTCTTTTATTTAACATAATATTAATAATATAAAGTTAACAAAAAACTAATTAGTGACATGTCGGATATGGCTTTGTCTTCTCTTCGCCTACATTCTACACCTTCGATGGAGAAAATTGTTCTCTTTGTACCTATGAAAAGCTGACATTTCTAGTTATGGTCTCTCCAAGAGTGGTAAGAGTTTATCTAAGAACTCCTCAATTACGATCACTTGATCTCGAATCACCACGAATGAGGTCAACACAGTCTCAGTATACCACGTTCAGTTGAGTGGCAACATTTATTTTTCATTTCAAAGTGAGATAATTCCTCAACAACAGAATTCAGGAAAAGATCACGTAGAAACAATTCTTTATTCGAAATTTTTCTCAATGTACAACTCGATTACAACTTGAAAGTTTTGTTCATTAATCATTTGTAAATCGTACGAAGAAATATAGCGGACGTGCCGTTCATGTCAACAGCTATCAACAACATGGATAACACCACAAATACAGTAATCTTGAAATTCTCGACGATTGTTTGAGTAAAAAACTTTCAATGTGTTTATTAAACGTATCAATCACATATAATGTATTGGTTGGTTTGTGTATAAAAATAGTTATTGTTAAATTCACTCATGAATATAAGAAAAAAATACATTTTGACAGGTAAATGATATGATTGACAAGAGAACGAGAAATGTGCATGACGCATAGACATATTGTAGATTCATAGCAGGTAAAAGGCGTAGGGAAACAGAGATACGACGTGGGTGTAGTTGAACGTAAGGCTAACATCCATACTCGCACACCTATATCCACCGTCACCTTGACCGCCACAGCCACTCCTATATTCACATCCACCATCTCTCATTTTCTTTGTCAGTCGCTGTTTCTATTATGTTTTCTCGTAATTCACTTGATTTAAAGCTATTAGAGAGTAGAGTGAAATTAAGGGACATTACTTCACATGTGTACCGACAAGCATCCACATGAGCACCAATTAGCAAACAACTCACACTTAGTCTGATCAACCGAACATGAGAAAATATTGGATTAATTTAACTATCATAATCCTAAGCAATGTCTGAAAAAGCTGAAAATATGCAATAACACGTACAAATATCCACACAAAAAACGAACACCATCTACACAAACACCGGTTAACAAGCAGCTCACACTTACTTCAACCAAGTGGTCAGAAGAGGAGGTCAAGTGTAAATTTCACTGTGCTTCCTAGTCCTAAAGAAAATATGGAACACCACTAAAAATTCCCAATGACACCAATGAACATCCACATGGACACTGAAAAGTGTCTATACGAACACTGGTTAGAAAACAGTTAACCTGCTTCCAAAAAAGATGAGCAAGGAAGCATATTTGATATAGGATAATTGTGTTTTCTCAGTCATAGAGACTATGTGAAAAGCTCTTGAAAATAAGCAGAGAGACTTGCCAACACCGTGGAATATTCACACAAACAGTGAGATTATCTACAAGCTCAGCGTGAGGAGTAATTTACTCTTTAGAGTCGATTTCGACATAGAAAAGATCCTACTTACATAGAACTATGTCACATGTCCTAGAGAAAATCTTAAAGAAGAATTTCAAAAAATTAAAAATTCATCTAAAACCTGTTCAAACGCTCAGGAACGTCCATACAAATGTACTTGGCCTGCTCGAAAGTGGCTTGACATGAAGGAGAACAACTAAAAGATGAAGAATAGGTTATAGGTTTTATGTTTCCAGTTAGTGATTGGGAAGCCACGAACGAGACGCCGTATAATAAGAAGACAAAGTGCATTGGTGAGTTCGAGTAATTTAATAAGTTTATATCAATGAACGGTAGCTCGCACATCAATTATTCGAAATGCTTTAAGCGAAATCTCTAGAAGATAAAATGTGAAACACTATAGGACGACTGTATGGAATAACTAAATCTCTAGTAATATTGACTATCGTTGACGTCGACTAGATAGACAATCATATTCATATGTTGACCACTATCAATGTGACGGAAATCGCAATTTGAACTTCATTGTTATATATTTTAATGCCCACTACCACTTATGTATGGTACGTATTCAAATAAGAAATGTTTCT